TAGGTTTAAACTGACTAAAACCTCTTGATTTAGGGTTTAAACGACGTATCTTAGGGGTTAAACGAAATAGGAAAAGACCCAAAAAATCCTGAATTAACTGCTGTCGGAGTGGGGCCATCAATCAATCGACGGACCGTCAATCAATCGACGGACCGTCGATTGGGTCCGTAGATCGAGTATGCCCGACAGGGCTTCACTAAAACAAGCATAACTTTTTACTCGGAGGTCGGAATTTAGCAAACTCGGTGGCGTTGGAAATATAATTCAATTATCTATCATACCATAGGTCATGGGAAACACAATTCCTTATGTGCTAAAAGTTATGACCATCTGAAGTTGACCCATCAATAATCTTCATCTAACTGGCTGTTGACCCTCATCTACGGTCAGACCTACGGACCGTGGATCGAACGACGGTCCGTGCTGGTCGACCGTAGTTTGTATCAGAGGTTGGGTAAGGGAAGTCTCGATCCACAGACACAGACTACGGACCGTGGGTCTGTCCGTGAGTCGGGACTTAGCCAATTTTCTGAGCTGGGTCTGGGAGGGGTTGCAGTGGTGAACCACGGACCACCAGCATGGGCCGTGGTCTGACCTACGGTCCGTGGATGGTGACCGTAAGTTGCACCTGCAACTTCTCGAAATATGTATCTTTGGTCTGTTTCGAATACGGGGTGTTACAATATATTTCCAACAAGAAAACCAAGATTCAATATTTAGCTTGTCAAGATTCAACAAGTAAAGCCTCAATCTTAATCTAGTGTTGGCTCTGAAACTAACTAAATGCAAGAATGGGAAAGAAAACATATTATTTTATCAAATCAAACAGTTTTAGAATTCGAATTCAATTGCATGCGTTCTCGCATCATAATCACAGAAAATCCCAATCATATAATTTTTAGTACAAAGATCAAGAATCTATAATTTTTTGTACTAACGCATCAATTTTGGACTTGCATTGACTCGTAAACCCAACAAAAAGAGGAAGAAAAAGAACCCTAGAAGAAGGGCAAACAAATATATTACCCCATTAACCAAATCAACCATTCAAACAATCACAAGAAATGCGCTCTTATACGACAACATTCACAGAGGAACCGAAACCGGTATTTCTATATGTAAGTAATTGGAATAGTGTTTCTTGTTACAGAATTACGTATTAGACTACAAGAATATAGTTCGCTTCTTGTAGCTTTTATTATTAAATTGGAGGCTTAAATTTAAATTATTATTTTTATATCTGATATTCAAGTTATCTCTTTCTTTTTAATTAAAAAAAGTTTTGTTTTTTTATGGTCTTAAACTAATCTATATCTATATTATCTTAAAAACATGAACTTCTAACTTGAATGTTAAATTACTATAATATCCCTAACTTAGATTGTGGCTTTTTCGATGAGTTGTGACTTTTCCGATAAGCTGTGACTTTTTTCAAAGGGTTCTGATTTTTCGGTGAGTTGTGGTTTTTTCAAAGAGTTGTGACTTTTTCAAAGGGCTACGACTTCTCAAAAAGGTCATGACTTTTCATATAAGACACAAAAAATACTTGTCATACTACTCTTTGTTGACTATAAATAAAGGAGCTTCCTCTCCTTTATCAACCACAATTTTGTTAATCTCCTACTCTTCTTCTTGCATATTAAAAAATTTCATGTGATTTATTGTCGTTGAGTGAGTTCGAAGTTTAGCGGAATATGAGGTACCACTATTCTGATGAAGTAAATCGTTCTATCCTAAGAGGGTACATTCAATAACTTCGAGTACTTGAGGAAAATAATTTTGATGATATAATAATTATTTTTTTGCTTAATATATACATTAGTATGTAATGTTTCAATATATGAAGTTAACATGATGTAGTCAAAATTCATTTGTTTTTTATAACAATTTCTCTTGTGATGTAAATATATGCTTCTGAACATTTTTTTTTCAAAATTATTAAACTTCTCAAGAGTAAAATATGTGAATATATATGAATTATTTAAAAAATTATCAATTACAAAATAAATTTTATATTCAGTAATATGGAATAAACATTTTCATTTTGTCCCTACACTAAATTAAAATCTAATAACTATAAGAAAAAATAGTAACTTTAATTAAAAGTCCTATTTATTTATGCAAGTATAAAATTTATTAGAAATACATCTGTTGCACATTAATCCTTTAGTTATAACATTATAAATTCTCTTAGTTATTACTAATTATTACAAATGTTATTCACACTCTTCAACATTCTTTAGTTATAATGTTATGAATTCTCATAGTTAGTACATTAATTATTTCTTTCATCTTTTCTTATATTAACTTTTGACCAATAAGTTTTCAAATTATTACACTGCCCCTATATATGTGATAACACGATGTTGTTATTTTCCTGGGATGATTCATGCTTGATTGAATAAATTGAAAATCGTTTACAAGTATATGAACTACATATTTGTTGGGTGTAAGATAAGCATGTGATTATATATATGATTTCACAGATAGAATATATTCTTTAATTTTAATTTTTAGTTTTTAGGATAAAAAAAGGAACCCTTTTTCAGTTAACTTTGGACAATCAAATAACTATCTTTGATTTTTGTATACAGTCAATCGAGAAGTCAAATATGAGAGCTAACAACAAGAACGTCATTTATTATGTTATAATTATACAATAAAAATTAATACACAAAGATTATTTCTAAAAAAATAAAATGTATGTTCATATGACATCTAAACAGTTTAACGTGGAATACACGTGCAAAGCACATCTAGTTAGATGACAAGAAAAATACACAACAAATATGGTCTATAAGGTAATATTACTGAGGTACGACTAATTACATGATTGAACCTCATCAAATTGAAATAAATATATGCATTATTGCATTTAGCTAATAAAATTTTTCATTGACCATCTTCATAGATTCGTGTGAATAAGATATATATATATGACGATCCACATTGAACATTCACAAAAGAATCTGCAATATTATTTTGTGCAATGTTTATTATTCAAATATTCACTTAAATAAGCAATACTATTTACTATAACATATATCTTCTGAGCTGGTAATCACGTGTAACGCACGTGTCAAAAAACTAGTATATATATATACCAAAATATTTTTTAATCTTGTGGTCTTAAACATATAATGTGGAAGTTAAATTTAAAAATTGATCCATAAAAAAGAAACATTCTTTAATGTTTTGGAACAAACTAAAAAAACAACAAATAAATTAAAAAATATAGTTTTTTTTTTTTTGGTTAGAAAGGAGACTTATAATAATTTTATTATTACTAGAAAATTAGGCCCTTCAATTTTTGAGCCTAAGACATATGCCTCATTTTTAAAGACATTGAGCCAACCCTGATTAGAAATTATATATTTTAGATAGTTGTTTAGATCACGTAATTATATACCCAAAAAATACTACATATATTAACATGATACATAACTTAATTTGAAGTTAAGTAATCTTTCATGGACTTGAAGTTGGAAAGTCAATAGGGAATGAGCTGTTCTATTTTGGTACAGATAGAGATTAATTTAATTAATTTCTATAAGCAAATTGAACGATGAAGTAATATAGTATGAAACTGGAAACTTTGAGTTAATTATTCAAAAAAAAAAAGTCAAATAGATTGACTTCAAGCAAGATGAACATTAAATATAAATATGAGATATGGGTGGTCTTTACTTATTTAAATTGCAAGTCTGAAAATGCCTAATATATGAGTATATAACTTTAAAGGGGTCAACTTGCTACTTAGAAAATCTTCTTCTTTTTATATTGGGGGCGATGCGATGCATTATTATTTAGATTCTCAAATGGACTAATAAAATTTCCAATCTTGACGAATTGGAAATTTTATCTGGAATAGAATTATAACTATCTAGTGTTGAAGTTGCTATAACAACATATCAATGTAATCTCACAAGTGGAGTCTGGAGAGTGGTGTGTACAATGTACGTAGATCTCACCCTTACCTTGTGAAGGCAGATGCTGTTTACGATAGACCCTTGTGTTGAAGTTGCTACTTACATAAATTTTAACTATCTTGTGGGTCAAAGAAAACCTCCAGTTTCATCTAAAATGATGTGTTGTTTCTTCAGCATATACACTGTCCTCTTTTGGCAAACAAAAAGATGCAATACAAGATACAACTGACACAAATTGAACAATGAATCCTTTTTTGTTTACAGAAGGACCATATAGTCTACATTTCAGGTATATCACAATGGGGCAGAATTTTATACAACTTTGAAATCTAGCTAGGAGGTGCAAAAATGCAGAGCTGGAGAAATATAACTCCTCACACTTTTTCTAGGGATAGTAATTTATGTACATTTAGAAATCTTACTCACAAAAATTGAACAAATAGTTACAACTTACAACAATCATACCTCGATGAATGGCTTTGAACCAATGCAATCCCTCATGAGCCATAAGATACAGGCACACCGGCAAGAGATTAAATAAGAATACACACACAATAGAGAGTCAGTCAGATCTTGATTCGGGGTTGTATTCACAGAGATCAGAGGCAGTTTGGATGCTTGAACACTGAGCTTGATTACTTGATGCACTTTGATTTAGCCTCTCTTGTTGGAAATCTTTCAAGGCTTGAAATCTCAAATCGTCAGTATACATACTTGCTTCTGGGATACTATCAGGGGCATCTATTTTTCCTTCAAGCATGCCTACAGCCTCAGACATTACAGGCCTGAGTGATGGCGTCGCACTAGTGCATAATAGTGCTACTTTTATTGTCCTTTCGGCTTCTGCTTTGCTAAACTGAGAACCCAATTTATCATCAATCAGCTCCTCTATTTTTCCATTTTGCAGCAAGTGACAGGCCTGCAATAGAGTTTTATAAGCTAGCAACTTCAAAGGGAGTGCGGGAGGTTCATGGTTAAAAATGTTCAAGGATTCTCAATCTTATAAATGGTAGACGAGTCAGGCTTTGTTGAAGTGCATTAACAAAAAGGAAAAGGAAAGATACCCAGTCTAAAAGACAAATGAAATTGTCGGAAGGCACATAGCCATAGTTGTGCTTGCCGCTAACAATTTCCAGGAGGACAATTCCAAAGCTGTAGACATCTGCTTTGTAAGTCAAATAGCCCCATAGTGCATACTCTGGTGCCATGTATCCTCTGCAGTTATCAACATACAATTATGCTACAAATTTTACCTAACCACGCTGCTGACAAGATAACGGCAAAAAAAAGAAAGATCTAGTTTGAATTTTACGTTGCAACTTACATTGTTCCAGCAACTCGAGTGCTAATATGGGTATTATCATCTTCAGTAAGTTTAGCTAGCCCGAAGTCCGAAATTTTGGGATTTAGTTCTCTATCTAGCAGTACATTAGTAGCTTTAATGTCTCTGTGTACAATTTTAAGGCTTGATTCCTCATGAAGGAAAGCCAGACCTTTAGCGATCCCAACACAAATCTTGAACCTTGTCGGCCAATCAAGCATCAACTGACTTTTCTCTGAATCTAAAGTTATCCAACATGCTAAAATTTTAATGGACATTTTCATAGAGAGTTAGTAATAGTTTAGGAACTTTTTTAAAAGAGATTGAATAACTTACGAAATAATGCGCGAGCGAGGCTATTGTTTTCCAAGTATTCATATACGAGCAGTAATTCAGTCCCTTCAATGCAGCAACCATGCAGCTTAACAAGATTTGGGTGTTGCAAACAAGAAATCATGCCAATCTCATTCAAAAATTCACGGTTCCCCTGTCTTGATTGACGCGAGAGCTGCTTCACTGCAACTAAAGTACCATCAGATAACCGGCCCTACATAAAATATTTGGTCAGAGTTCACAACCAATAATGATAAAGACGATACTATATTACTGTTGTTACCAAAGTGATACCTTGAAAACTGCACCAAAACCACCTTCCCCTATCTTGTTAGAAGCATCAAAGTTATTAGTTGCAGCCTTTATTTGCTTTAAAGTAAAAGAAATGGTCTGCAGCTCCATGCCCTCTAAATCTGTCATGGAAATAGAGAAACTTTACTGGTTAGTCATCTATTTATAACTCACAACTTCTGGATATGGAGTTTTCTTTGATTATCATTTCAGTAGATTGTGCTCTTTCAAATCAGTAATGCATGGATCAGCTAGCTGCCTAGTCACAAAATTTGCTAGTTAAAATTACTTCATTCTAACATCTGTTCAGTGATTACCTTTTCTCTGTTTCTTTTTGCATTGAAGATATCCTTTCCACCAAAGCGTGCTTATTAACAACAGGAAAATGCATGTAGCCACTACTCCAACAATAACATAAACAGTCGCACTCTTTTTATTCTTTTTATCTTCCTCTGAACAAGATCCAAAAGCTGCACAGAAATGAAGACTAGATTGTTAAGTGTATGCAACAGCAGGGGCAATAGAAAATAAGATTCTTCCAGTTGATTACATAGAATATGAATATCAACATGCATATTATTCATGGGAAAATAATAGCAAAGAAAAATACATGGGCACTCATCCAACACTCCTTCAAGCTGAGAATTTCTGTCTGTTAATTCAACCAAAATTACGAAAATGGATTTCCTTGGCCATATAGAATGACCCTTTGAATCAATAACCAAAAAGGAGAGAAAACAGTTATAAAATGTATGCCTACATCGGACATACCAGAAGAGATTTAACTCCTACTTATTTTTTTAGATGAAAAGAAAATAGCAATAGGAATAGGAAAGGTATTTAGAGCTTAAAACTATCTATTGGAAGGCCGAAAAGAAGAGCCTGGTTGAAATAACCACAATACAAATATTCTATCACCTGGTAAACATCGAAGTTTATACTATAAATCAGTAACATACTAATACGTATAGTTGGTACAGAACCACAGGAATATCAAGCCATGTATGAACTTTAATAGCTTAGTTTCAAAAAAACTAGTTTGCCCAGTAAAAAATTAGGAAAGCTATTGAAAAATTACTCTTTCAATCATTCGGAGCAGGCTAAGTTAAAGCCGCAGATTGGCTTTTGGTGCTGATAATAGTTTACTTGATCTCTAGATAAATGTTGCAAGTTGCAACTCTAAAGAGACCAAAGCAAATCAATGGTTGAGAGAGATAGCCAACCATTTATCTTTTGCAATTTCAGACGCCAACTGGTGTTCAAATAGCACGGTGGAAATGGCAAAAAAAATATCAGAATTTTCCACATATTTGTTGAGAATATAATTAACTGTTAAAGTGTGCTCTCTCTAGTAGCTTAAGCTTTTAGATGAGATGATCACACACTTCAATATGGTATCAGACCAGATGAGATGGTCACACACTTCAACAATATTAACATGGATCATGTTAGATAGCAGCAATTTTATCTTATACAACGGAAGTTGATAAACAATGTCAACCCCACAAATAAGCAAACAGAGCATGTAATCATGCATTCAATTGCAGTATTTCTTCTAAAAACAATTAAATTTATCATGTATGAACCTGCTCATATGATATGTACGATCTCTAGAATATCTCTTGGGACTTTAAAGTTTACACTGATACATGCCTTTTTGTGTTAGTTCTCACTGAGACATGCTTAAATACACAATATACTTGAAGGAAACCAAAGTGAGAAGTGTAAAAGCAGATATACTATGATATTCCCCTTAAAATGATGAATATTGAAGAAACTTACTTGGTTTGAGTGAGATTGCAGATATTAGGGGACCGTAATGCCCTCTAACTGGGATTCTGATAGTTCCTTTGCCAGCCCAGTAAAATCGAATCTCCAAAAAATTATCTGTCACACTGGTTTTAAAATGCCTAACCAGAGGCGTTTGAACTCCACCAGCCTCATTCACAATATTGAAGTCTTTCCAAACTAATTTTTCCTGAAGTACAAAGAATATTGTGTAGGTATCTTGTGGAAAGTCACAGGAACTTATTCAGTGAGATGTTAGAATATGTCTAGATTAATAGTATACGAAATTCTTCCTATTCAAAAATCTCAGTATAAAGGAAAGATAAAATTTTGTATCCTAGTTGTCTAAACTCCTATATAAAGACTACTTTCTTGTTATAGATCTAATAGCTTCCATCTAAAGCTGCCTGCCACACAGTTTTTCATTTTTTTCATAATAAGGCTCGTCTCTTTCCAGATAAAGCAGCATCACTCTTTTACTCTCTTCCAGGCTCCAGCATCTTTTGGGCAACATGTGCCACGTATCGACAGTCCGCGTTGGGTTGATATCATCACTCTATACCTGTTAACCTGTCAAGTCAAACAGTCTATAGCTGTCCAGCTAGCTGATGTGTCACCATCCAGACAGCACCATGTCGCTTTCTAGAGAACACTTTTAGTTGAGACTAGTACCAGTCAACGCATGGTTACTATACCGTCACCAAGTTAAACACCGTGAATGATCATCTATCCAATCAATCTGGCACAGTGCTTGCTTCTCTGTAGCCATCTAGATACGCTCGCAACATGAATGTCCTCAAATTCAATCATAACTCCTACTCTATTTTGTCCAGGTAGTATCATGTCACTTTTCACTTTCGATTTGCAAACACAAGTTGCTGTATCACCTTGAGTTTGGAAGGCGCGTTGTGGGAGAATTAATGCAGTGATGTGTTAAAATATATTCTAGGTTAGTAGTAGAGAGCATTTTTTCTAATTCTGGATGGGTAAATTCCCAAATTTAATAAGTTCTCTTATTTCATTTAGGTTAGAGCTTACCATAATTGTAATTGCCTGAACTTCTATATGTGGAGGCATCTTGTATATCATCTACAACCAAATACAATACAAGTTCTCTCTTTTTTTCCTCATATTTTCACACATCTAACATAGTTTAAGCGTATAGAAAGTTTTTCTAATGGGCATACCAACCTGGATGTATATATCAAATACTCGCCTTCCAAGACTGGTATAGGTGCTGTCATTTGTAAAACTTATCTCAGCAAAGTGCAAGCTGACATTGTAACTCCCATTCCTCAAGCAATAACGGAAGTAAGTGAGTGAGAGGGGAGACATCCGTGCATTATTGTACAATTCAGAGAGGCTTTTTGATTGTGTACTTTCAATAAAACGTGCATTTTGGTCATTATTATCATCCATAAAGTCCCCAGTGCTACTCAATCCCCAATAATTGGTGCTACTGCTGAAATATCTAGCAGAACCACCATCAACGCTTGCATCTCCTGCATAATGAACTTCTCCATCGCTCTCCTTTACAGTAAAATCATTTCCACCACTATTAACATGTAATGAACACCCATCTGCCAATGAAAATAATAGAAGTCAATGCTCAAAATATATTTCATAAGTTGGGAAAATGATCAAGCAGAAAATATTTCCAACGATTAGGTAGTGAATCCTCAAATCATCTAAATACTTGTATATACATGAGTTTAAGGACCTGTTTGGATTGACTTTTGGCTTATGAATTATAAGCCAAAAGCTATAAGTTAGGATTTCTAAATTACGGCTTTTGCTTATTTTTGTTATTTTGACTTTAAAGTAAGCGCTTATAAGCACTTTTTGACTTTACCCAAACACTTCAAAACTACTTAAAAGCTATTTTGGCTTTAAAGCACCTAAAATAAGCCAATCCAAACGGACATTAAGACTGAATACACCCTTAGAATGTCTCTGTGTTAAATATCAAAAATGAAACTAACTTGCTACAGTTTCTTGCATAGTTGAGCAATCTGCTATTTGAGTGAAGGAGAAGATGGCAAAGCGGCTAAAGATATAGTTTCAGATTCTTGCTACGGATGTGATTCATATTCCATATGAAAATTGTATAACTTTCCAGAGAAGAAAAGAACATACTTACACCGACGACAAGTAAAATCCTTCGTACATGGATGAATTCTCATTCTGTAGGAGTTAAAGCACAAAAGCAGTTAGAACCAAATCCGAATTAGATAGAAGCAATCACTTCTGCTTTGCACTTCCTTTTTCTCTCAGTTTCATCATAAATCAGAATTTTAATGTTTCAGGATAATAAGAATCATCTTACAAGGGGCTTACTGCTGCAGAGCTCTTGTACAAGTTTAAATACAGATTCCTGTAGAAGGAATAATTATCAGAACCATATATGCTTATCCAATAAACAATGTAAAAGCATGAATTAACAAAAATGGACCTATCCTTACATGTTCTGCTGACAAGCATGTTGGTCAGGTCCTTGCCATGTAAAATTATTGTAGGAAAGATCACTGCGCGCAAAGGACGCTGTTAGATGTCATCTTTCCGATTATGAACCAAGCAGTTGTGAGATCCACATGAAGACAAAATATGGAAAAAATAATGCCAACGTGAATGAATCAAAATTGCTTTGGCATGCCACTGAACAACCATTATGTTTATGAATAAAAATTATGACATGTTCCGCAAAGACCGAGTCCATCTTACACCAGCAGAAATTGTTTATGAAATTAGAATATTAATAAATATACACTTACACATTTATTCCACTCTTCAAAAGAGAGTCTGGTATATCTCCACTGAGCATGTTGCCAGTAAGAAACCTATGTAGAGAACATAAAGCAATTAGGCAACAGCAAATCTGGAAGTGCAAGCACATGTTATACACTTCATACTTGAAGATGTTGGGGGTATGAGCAAAAGAAGATTGAGAAGAGACTGATGTAACTTGCTAATAACAAAATAAAAAGGACATCACATTTGAGAGAATCCACTTTTTGCAATTCAACTTACACAAACTTCAGCATACTTCTAGCACTAATATTGTTTGGGATTTCTCCGACTAACTTGTTGAAGGTAACGTCTCTGCAGAAAATTAAAAAGAAATCATGATTACCATTTGAACTCTCAGAAGGAGATAGAGCAGATGAATCTGTGAGCACAAACTCTTACAACCGCCACATGTATATTGTAGAAGAAAAATGTATAAGAGCCAACTCTATATGTTAGACTAAATAATGTACTGGAGAGATACAAACATAGGAAGGATGAGAAGTTTAGTGAAAAGCAAAGAGCAGCATGAAACCTTTTGATATTGAGGTGTCATATACTAATTAAGAACAAGTGCATTGTTTCTTGAACAGCCTCAATTATCTTTTAAAACTGGAAATGCTAAAAAATTTACAGTCACAGAGAGCACAGTAGATGTGAAATATTTCAATTTTCCAAACAAGGAAATTAAAAGGGGCTTTAATTTCTACAGGAGTTCTTGGTAGAGAAGAAATGATTTCTCAACTGTTTTTGACTGGGGAAGGCAGTATTAACTGAAAGAGGCGCCAATAGAGGACAGTAAATAGTGTGACTTCAGAGAATCCAAAGGTCACGGACAGAGGAGGAAGGCAGAAAATCATGTAATAGCTCTCTCTCTCTCTATTTAATACCATGTAATTTTGAATGCAGCTGAAGAAGTTTGAACATTAGGTGCAAAAGAATAAGTCCATAACTTACAATGTTTGCAGATCCTTCATCGCCCAAATATATACAGGAAGCTCTCCAGAAAGGCTGCAGTTTCTTAATACCCTGTATCCATATTTAATTAGCTTAAGGAAAGCTAGAATACTTAATAGCACACTATAACTGTGCAACGGTTTCCACATATCGGTATAATTTGACATACAAGTTATGGAATCCCATTATATCACCCAGTGAAGGAAATGCCTGAACTGGTCCACCTATGTCACTGATCCTCCTGTATACAAAATTGACCGTGAGAGAACTGCAAAGAGTAAATGCTCTACAAAAATCTAATAAAAATTAGTTAAGATAATGTTGTAAGGTTCTCTACTCACAAATCTGTTAACTTATTCAGAAGAGATATGTTTGTTGGAATGGGACCCTCTAGTCCGGTGGCATGCATCTCCCTTCAGATATCGTCAAGAAAAAGTTTAGAAACTCTTGCCAAAATATTATTTTGAAGTTTGGAAGGTATTTCGAAAGATCTTACAGTTTGGTAAGTTGTTTCCAGTTCTGTATGAAATCTGGAATCTGTCCACTGAAATTGTTGTCACTTATCCTACTGTATAGTAAAATTATACTGTGAGATATTCTATTCCCCGAGAAAGATAAGAGCTAAAAGGAGCTTGGCTAGACTGTATGCTCTTACAAATCCGTTAAATTTACGAGTTTGGAAAATGAAGTTGGCAACTTCCCCACCAATTGGTTGGAGGATAAAATCCTGAAAGTAGAAAAAGATTTAATCACCCACTCATCTATGCATCAGTCATTCAGGTGCCAAATGCCAAGTATTCTTCAAGTTTGCTTTAGGAGAAGATAACAAAGTGGAAGAGAAATGAGAGGTCTTACAGGGTTTGCAAGTAGATCAATTTCCCTAGTTCAGAAGGAACACTGCCTGAAAACTGGTTCGCCTCGAGATTCCTGGTTTAAAACATTTCAATGGATAGAATAAAGAGAGCAAATAGCCACCCAAATTATATTTGGACAGCATAGCCACTACATTTTCTTTTGCAATATATATCAATAATATGAGAATTTTTTGACTAGTTAAGAGAATCCAATCTCCAGACCGATATCATAGAAGTAAGTTCGAATAGAAATTCAATACATACAGGTACAAAAGGCTGCTGATGTTTCCCAACTCCTTTGGGATTTCCCCTGACAACCGGTTTACAGTAACAGAGCTGGATCAAAAAGTATGCAATTATGATTTGAAAATGAAGACATGACAGAAAAACTGATCAGCTGGAAAGAAAGTGGGGTATTACATGTTAGTCAGCTGCGTTGCAGCCCACTCAACTGGTATTCTGCCACTGAGATAATTGTACGCAAAATCACTATAAATGGGGTAAGAAAGACGAAGGCAAAGATTTAGTGACTTATGTTGATATAGTCATGAAAAAAAAGAGGCTAGTGAAAGGATCAATTGTAAAAATGGTAGAGAATAGCTCTTACATTTCTTTGATGTAGGGAAGCTTTACCAATTCAGGTGGGAGTACTCCTGGAAGATTTAAACCCTTTAATACACTGCATACGTGAAAATAATATAAAGACATCAATTTAGGAACAAATTGCAATAGAAATAAAAAAAGATGTGGATGCAAACGAAGAGAAATCAGAATGGCTGCTTATGGCTGCTTCTGATAAAAGAAACCCGGCAATGAGTGGTATTTACTATTTAGTCCAGTTGAGACAGAAGAATTAGTATGAAGTCACTAGAAGGAAACTTCTGTATTGATATGGCTTTTCTAAACCCGATGAAAGCATAGCCTATAATGTTTCACTTTACAAGCTCCAGGAATACTTAAGTAGTTAAGTTTGAATAAGCCTTTTAAGTAACCATACATATTGGTTCTGGGGAAAGGAAGTTCATGAAAAATCTGAAAACCTCTTCACTTCAGAATTCCTTGAGTTCGTTCATCCAATTTTATTTCAGACAGACATCAAGTAGGATTGACCCCAAGCTGGCTCTGGGGTGACATTGATAATCACATAGATATGGGTAGAAACAAAGCATGCATGACAAGCTAAAAGGTTAGAAACAATTTAATCAATCTCGATTTAGAAATAAGGTGTAAATGCCTCACATTGTTGTGATGTGGTCTTCATCATCACATCCAACAATTTTCTCATGCCACGCTAGCTTAACTGGGACTCCAACACCTTCAACTCTGCATAAATCTGCATCGAAACTCAAATATGTTGCACCCATCGTTTTGGCAATTTGTTGGAGGACATTCACTGAAAAACAATCAGTAGGTTGAAATCAACTAGTATAGCTTGCACTATGCAATCTTCCCAAAGATACTATTTGACAATTACAACTGGTAATAACCAAAAAGGTCATCAGCCGAAGAAGTTTAGAAAAATCGATTTCTATTTAGTGCTTCCATCAAATTGAAAAGAACTACTCTCTCTAGTCCATATTAAGTGAATTGTTGGGGGCACACCCCTTATGAAAAATATTTTAAGGACATAAATTAAAAGCTACTTTCCACTTTACTCTTTTGATTATTCCCAAACTATTCTAGTAGAAAATGTAAAGTAGTTAAGATCCTCACTAAATGAAAGGAAAATATGGAGAAAAGTCCCAACAATTTTCTTGAACTTTGAACCATTCATTTATTTTGAACTATGATAAAAGTCCCAACAATTCACTTAATATGGACTAGAGGGGGTATATAAACTATTGAACACTTCTATCTGTAAGACAAGCAGAATGACTCGAGATTAGGCTGCTCAAAAAAATGTTTCATCCCTTAATGTGACCGAGATGCAATGATTGTAAGCTAATAAGTGTTCACTCCGACAATTAACACCTAACAAAGAGACGTAGATGCACTCCATCAGAAAAACTCCTGAAATACATCAAATATTTCAAGAGAATAGGGGGACATGTAGTATACTTCACGCAAAAGTAAACATATAAGAAAAAAGCATCCTCTTCATGCACTTGATGCTAGTAAAGGGGCTATTAAAAGGACTTGTTATTTTCTTATATCCGTGGTGTCAGAGCCAACTTGCATACACCTCGATTATTCCACTAGGTACCTGACACTCAAACCAGTTTGGGTACCAGATAACTTGCATTCTCTAGAAAACAACTTTGTACTTGTAGTTCTGGACAGAAATGACTTGTAAAATAATGCAACTCCAGATGTAGAGTATAAGTGTTCAACACTAGAGGGGGCTTTCCCAAAAACTCCACCAGACTTCTGTGCATAATTTGTATGTGAGAGATGGTCACATAATATTCGTCAACCTTTACATTGTAAACTGTATCACTTTAACATAAAAATCCTAAGCTTCTGGCAGCCAAACTTCTTATTAAATATCTTTTTTCAAGAATAACTACTTAATAATTGTATTTCCTCCTCCTCTTATTGATTCGGATATGCTTTATTGAGCCAAGGGTCTATCGGAAACCTCTCTACCTTCTCAAGGCCAACACGTCCATGGCAAAACAAGCAAATCAGAATACCACCTAAATTGGAACATTCTAAGCGCTAGACATAGCATTAATTTCAGGAAACTGGTAACTAACTTTAGTCTTTTTTAAAAACAATCAATAACCGTAGTGTCCAGCCCAACTTGCACACCTCAACTAATTCCACGGAATACCTGTCACCTCCCACCAGCAACATATACTAGGTGACTCTATACATTCCACGGGATACCAACCACCTCCCACCTCCCACCAACAACATGTACTAGGTGACTATATACATTCCACGGGATACCTACCACCTCCCACATCCCACCAGCAACATGTCCTAGGTAACTCTGCCCACCAAGGCTACAACTGATTGGAAGAAATCACCTGGTGTTTTTAGGTCAACTGAACTTTGAACCTGAGACCTCATGTGCTCAAGCCACTTTATTGACTACTAGGACATACCCTTGGTAGCAACTAACTTTAATAATCCATTATTTATCTATTTGAAAACAGTAAAGCTCACACCTTTTCACTATACATTCACTAAATTGAAGTAATTCCATCCACTTCTCATCTTCTTTAAACTCAAAACTCCTAATCCTTCTTAAAATTATAGCAATCGAGAGAGAAAGCTGTACTAAGAAATTAAGTATTTCTTGATCTGCTAAAGTAACCCCCCTCTTTCCCATGGAATCCAAAAAAATACCCATTAAAGCAAAGAGAAAAGAGCAGCAATTTACCTTCTTCTTGAGGAACTCTGGACTCTGCAAATATCAAGAACAACAAGCAGCAGTGTAATCTCAGAATCCAAGCTATGGTTGGATACATTTTTCAAGAATCAAAAATGTGTAAAAGAAGAAAAAAAAAAAAAAAAAAAGTTCACTTCAGTAAGATGAATATATGAATCCCAAAATAATAAACAGCAAAAAGAATAAAAAAAAAAGGAAGTGCGTATCGAGTTGGAAATAATTGGTGCTGGAGCTGTAGAGAGTAGACGTTGATATTTCTTTTTTGACAAAAACGAATAGGGAATTTTTGGAGGCATGCATATGTGCTCAATATGAGTGCCATTATCCTACATTAATTTTGTCATAAATTTCTTAGAGTACTAACCACACGTCTCAATTTATGGGATGCGGTTTAACTTACTTGAGATTTTAGAAAATAATTAAGAATTTAGTGTCTAAAATACTTTTTTTTTAAATGTGTGATTATATGAAATAATTTTAAAATTAAATTACTTTTAATTATTAACAAAATAAAAAAAATATATGTTATATAAATTGAGACAAAGAACATAACTTATCTAAGAACCTCCTCCAACTTTGATTTTTCTATATTAATGAAAGTTTAGCCGGAGGGAATAAACAAATAATATTAGTATAATAAATAGTATTTTTTCGTTTAATTTATACGATATAATTTGATTCAACATTGCATTATAAAAAGGAAAAAAACAACTTGAACGTATCATGACATTTATGTAATTATAAGACTTTTGAAATTTATGATCTTGAATATGTGATAATATTGATCACTAAAAAACAAGAATTAGCAAACAAATTACATAGTTAGTTATCATTAATCTTATTTAGCATTATCGACATATTATCAAATTTATTAGGCGTAAAATATTATAGTGTGTACTAAAAGTACATTATTTGATCAATTGTATTAAACAATACCTGCTCTAAGTTACGCGGAAATTTTTATAATATTTTATGTAAATATAATGTGGAATAAACTATGTATTGCAAATACCCAAATATCAAAATAAAAAGTATTTAAAAATAAGAATATCTTTAAAGTAGATTATCCCCTTCATAATATTCCATGTATATAATATTATTTCTTAGTATATAATATCCTTAATGTGGAAAAATATACTACTACTACTATTTAAGCTAATCAACACATGTGAGTAGTCAAATTTCCACCATGAAGAAAACTAGAAAAGTCATATGCAATATTAATTATTCAATAAAGTCATGAAATTGGCCCATATTGTTTCTCTTTTGTCTGTCGATCGACGACCTATTTAAATTAAGGGGTAATGCTAAATGGCCAGAAAATTTAATTAAAATTTGGTCAAAAAATTAAAAAGTCTATAATATTTTTTTTATTTTAAATAAATTATTATTTTTTAATTAAAATGTATTAAAGTTAAAAGGGTAAAAATGTTCAAAAAGGTAAAATAAAATAGTGTGAAATATGTTACTTTACCATTCTTGCCAAATTTTATGGCCAGAAAGATTTATCCTAAATTAAGTAATATAATCATAAAATTTAGAATTTTACATTAATTTATGGGTCCTACGTGAACTTTTTAGTTGGTTAACTACGGAATTAATGATCATTTTTTCAAAGTTTTAAACGTTCAAAATGTCAAAAAAAAAGAAAGTACAATAACAATAATCTCTCATTATATTGGTTGAATCTAATTTTTTTTAGATGAAACAATCTTTATCTTTTAAAAAGTAAAAGCAAATTAAAATAAGCTTCCAATTAACATGCACGTGATAATAATGTGGCAGCTAAAACTAATATGTGAATTGCATGATCGGGTCGATATTAGGTAAATATTTATTTAAATTAAATCAATTTAATGTATATATCATACTTAAATAATTTAATTAAATGATATAAATATATATTATGTATATTAATTTGGCGTAAAGATCTCATCTCACGTGAGTAAATGACAATCATTTCAAGTTTAAGTTGAGACTTTTTTTGTGCTTCTTTTATTGGTGTTATCCAAAGTACAAAAGTGAGAAAATGGCCAAAAGCCCCTTCAAGCTATTATCGAATTTTTAACTACACACGTATTCTTCACGGGGATCTATCACCCCCCTGAACCTTTTAAAAGTGAAATATCTACTCCCTACAAACTCAAGCTAATATTTGTATTAGGTGGTAATATTACCCTTTTTTCATATAAAAAATAATAATTTTTCTTTTATATTTTACTTTTTTTATTTTTTATTTTCATCTTCTCCTTTTCTCTTTCTTTTCCATTTCTCCATCTCTTTTTCTTTGAACCTTCTGCAGATTTGACGAGAGGACGCCATGACTATTGAAACTTCGACCTTCATCGCACAGGAAATCTCATTTTCTAAAGCTAGAGACAAACGAAAAACTCTATCACTAAATATTGCTTCTTCTTCCGCTATTATAATATTTCTCAAAGATCGATTCTTCAAAGAACTACAAGTAAACGATACTTGCTTGCCGGGATAAAGGTACCAAACTTACGGAGGGACTTATAACAATGTTGATATGAGAAATTCGATTGATGTTTACAACAATTTCAATAAATGAGTCTTCTTCATTAAAGGGTTTGTTACCCAATGATGAATTCTTCTCCATTAATTGAATCAATTACTTAGTGAACTCCTCCATTAATGACTAGTCTAAAGTTAGATTCTTCTAACTTTCAATTTTGATTTTAATTTTGAGCTACCAACAATTTTTCAAAGTGATGAAAAGTGGAGATATGATGAAAAGTATGTGATTTGGTGATGAGAATTGACTCAGTGATGAAAACCTGATGAGGGCGGTGACCTGGTGGTCGAGGTGAGCCACCGCCGATGTCTAGTATGGATCTGATGATGAAGATTGAAGGGAAGAGATAAAGAAGGTAAAAAATAAATAAAAGGAAACATATTTTTTTTAAAATAAAATAGAATATTAATATGAAATAAATTAAATATTTATAAAGTTAATATTTTAACTATCTTTTTATCTCTCACGAGAGTGAACTACACCTTATTTGCCACATCAATATTTAGGAAGCAAATAACTTCATTTTAAAATAATTCAGAAATGTAATAGGACTCTCGTAAAATATACATATGTAATTGGGGGCTTTTGGTCATTTTCTCATACAAAAGTCACAGTTCAATTTTCAAAGAATATACAGTGGAGTGAGCTCTATGTGAAACAACTCATCACTTTACTATGGTAAACTTTTATATGGTTAATAATGATACATCTCTATCACCTTATTAAAAAATAATAATTATGGTAACAATTATACTTGTTGATAGTTCCATAGTTAGAAAAATATTGAAAAGTTTGATAGTTGCATCCTTGACATTTTCAGCTGAAAATTGAAATTTGCTTAGGATCACATGTCACAACAATTGATATTTCAAGACAATAAAGATTTTTTTTTGAATGGATGTCTTTTCAATCTTCTTCTTTTTTTCCTTTTTTTTTTTAATTCTTTCTTTCCTATAATTCATAAATTATAATTTCGATTAATTAACGAGATTAAATTTTTTCCATGATTCATAAACTAATGGACTTTTAATCTATTTCATAATTGTTAATTAAGGTTTTTATTATTATTATTTAGGCGGTGCAATGGGTGCATAAATAATCTATGCTTCAAAGTGAGTTAATATCTCAAAAGATCACTCAACTTTGAGAATTTATTTAGTAAAGTCATTGATCTTTGTTTTATATCAGTAAAATCACTGAACTTATGCTTTTGTATCAATAAAATCATTCAACTAAAATTATTATTCATTTATAAATATATAAAATTATTTTTGTTGATCCACATGTAATTAGATTGAAACTCATTCATAATTCTACCCATTAACCCAATTAAAAACCCACACTTCTTCAACAATAGCCAAAACCAAATTCTAATTTGTCCCGTTATTCCTCTTCCATATTATCTACACGATTTTTTTCCACTTCCACACAGATTTCCCCTCTACTGTTACACATAAATTCACATCCATATTTTATTCAGCGAAGATTGTAAATTTTTCAGTAATAAAACCTAAAATCTTGAAATATAAATTGATGGTTCTTGAAATTTTAGTATAGATAACTGTCAATTTGTCTACGATGATAGTGGGTTATGCAACATGTTTTCGTTATTATCCGTGTCACTTCGAAACGGGTCGTCTATATTGCCAGCTTAACCATGCAAAGATTTCTGCAATTGGGACTTCTTCAGCAATAACTAAAACCACACTCAAAATGAACATGCATGGAGATTGCAGGAAGATGAAGAAGTGTTGGGCTTTTTTAATTGGGTCAATGGATATAATTGTGAATGTTTGAGTCTAATTGCACGTAAATCAATAAAATTAATGATAAATTTAGTACAGTGATTTTATTGATACATAAATATAAGTTCAGTGATTTTATTGATACAAAAACATAAGTTCAATGATTTTAGTGAAACAAAACAAAGTTCAATGACTTTACCAGATAAATTCTCTAAGTTGAGTGATCTTTTGAGATATTAACTCCAAAGTAGGGTGAGCCAATCAATTTAAAATTTTGTGCGCGCACCCTTCTGAGGAGCAGCATTTGAATCAAATCAGTATCATTAGGATAGATTCAATATTTTCAGTCAGTAGGAACAAAGTATCACTCCATTAACTGCTCCTTCATGACAATTAGTGCAGACTTAGTACAAATATACACATTTCAAACCAACAACAACAAAAACAAACCCAGTGTAGACCAATAAGCAGGGTCTGCGGACGTAGAGTGAACGCAAGACCTTACCCCTACCTTGGAGGTAGAGAGGCTTTTCTAGAAGACACTCGGCTTAAGTAACAAACATTAGAGCAGCTAAAAGAAAAATACATATATAAATCAGACATAGAAAATAATAGGAAAAATATAACATAGCATTTAAAAGAGGAGCAATGACAATAACCAACTAATATGATAATTGAAGCATAGTAAATAACAAGGAGTAACAAAAGTCATAACACAGGCAACTACAAGAAAAATGCTACTAGTACTGTCTACTGTTATAAGCAAGGAAATAGGTACAATGCACCAAACTACCACCAATCCTATCGCGCTAGGAAATGAGACAACGTTCAAATACCTACTAACCTTAGACAAAGTTCAACTACCTAATAACCTTTTATCCTAATCCGCGACCTTCATAACCACTTATCTAAGGTCATGTCCTCGAAAAGCAGAAGCTGCACCAAATATAGTTTTTACACTTCAAACAAGTTACATCCTTTCAAAGTAAACAACAG